GTTTGAATAAAATAAAAGAAAAACTGAATAGAAATGGGAAGTAACAAGTATAGCATGGAAAGAGAAAAAGAACAATAAAATCCTCGTAGAAATATCATGTTTTACATTTTTAAGTAACCTATGTATATATTACTTTTTTCTTTCCCTCTATTCTTGGTTTTTCTCAATTAGAACTGAAATCTTCAATCTATCGTGTTGTTTTTCATTTCTTCAGAAGCTTATTTCTGATTTTTTTCGCTCCTCTCCTTTCTCCTTAATATTCTTCTCAGCGTGACATAAAACCAACTGTTTGAAAGCAATTTGCAAATAGAACAAAGCTCTTCTTCTTTGACTATTAATACAAAATCAAAATTCGATGTGTTATCATTCATTCAAACACTTGTCATAGTATATTTATGTGTTGCACGAATCGTTTTAATGTATGAAGAGAGAGAATCCATTCTGTTTTCTCTTGCTAGTCCGATTTGTAAGTATTCATTTGTAATTGCTCCAATAATAAGAATCCATCTCTAGACTTGGTCAATGTCTTACATAGTTTTCTCCATAGTTCTAGTAAAGACTACTCAATGATTCTTCTTTTGTTGTACAAAGACGAATAGGCAAAATTTACACAATATTGTTAGCAATATAGCCACTTTCACAGCAGATTATATAGATGATCAAACACCATCCGCTGAAAATCAGTTTATTTTTCTTCTTTTAGGATTTCGATTAACCAACAAAAACAAATATGTAAGACATGTTTCGAAATACATATTATTGAACATTAATTTTTATATAATACCGTTTTATTGTCATTTGCTTTCTTGTCAACGTTGTTTTCATCTAACTATATTAAAATGTGATACATTCTTTCGTTCTCATATCGCTACATATTTTTTTAATGTAAGACCATGTATGCACTTATAAAAAGATTTTGAATGTAATAATAAAAACTGAAGTCAAATAAATTGTTCATTGTGACAGTGAACAAATATCAACTATAAAATAAAGATTTATCAAGAATATTGTCTCACCAATCGAAAAGAAAATCGCTAATTTATCAAGTTTTAATAAGCTATGATCTAAATGGTCAGTAAAATAAATGAAATACTCAGTAAAAAAATATATAGATGGCCAGTATAAAGATAGAATTGTCACTTTAAATATTAAATGATCAGTATTAGATTTAGCAGTATTTAATTGTAAAATGGTCAGTTTATTGTATGCAATTAGTAGTAAAAAATACGTTTTATATAAATAAAAAAAAAGAAATTCGATCAGTAAAAAATACAGAATTGGTCAGTGGAAAATAGACACTTTATCAGTATAAAATATTTTTTATCCATATAAAAAATACTTAAGTAGTTGAAAGAGACTAGTCTGCAATCTATCATTATTAAGCATATAGAAAAGAACTTCATTGTTGCCGTATTTATGAGAAGCTGATAATTATAAGACTACGTGGTAACTGTTTTTCTACACTGGTTAATAAGAATCTTACTTGGAAGCAAGAATCAATGTGAAAGAAAGAGCATCGACATTGTCAAATACGATTGTCAACTGTCTTCAATAATTAGATCTATTGATAAATAGTTGTATTATCACTGAGGAATACTTAGAGAAAATCTACATCACTCTAAAGTAGATGCTAAGCAGTCTTTTTTACTTTATTTTAAACCACATTTAATCTTATCTTGGAGAGGCATTACTCATTCACTTTCCGTCTTAATGATCAGAATTACTCAGGAATACTTCCATGCTGAAAAATCTGTAAACGGACACGAATACGATCAGTACTAAGAGAGCATAAGCAAAATCTTGATGTTTGTTTTCTTATTCAGCTTTTCAGTTAGTATTAATAAATCGTGGTACATTGGCTTCATATTATAGTTACCTTCTTCACAATGTTAAATGTAAGCGAGAACAAAATACAGTGATTTTATTAAAATGAGTTACTCCGAAGTTTAGTTCCGAAAAGAAGCCTACCAAATATCAAAATATATTAAAAAAAAGAAGCTTTAAAAATGATGTAATCGAGTATTGAACAGTAAGTGGTACATATTTTGAACAGAAATTAATATTTGTATGAACTACTGCTTTTGTTCCTTTCTTGTATCATAAATAATCATAAAAATCTGGTTATTCTGCATAGATCTCAATGATCATAAACATTGGTAATGCTGAATTCAGAAGTTACAGATAATTTCTGTTGTAAACTTATTTCTCTAATCATCTCATAAAAGCTCGTTTAAATAATTATGTTCTTTGAGAATAGAATCATTTCAGCAACTATTAATGTTGAACAAAGTTTGAAAACTTTTGAAATTCGTTTTTCTGATTTACATTCATATAGTCGTTCAAAATCAATTTGACAGAAGACCAAAAATTATCATTATCATGAGTGGAATAGATATCATCAATTTTGATTCATAATTACCAACATATTCTACATCAATTAATCGTCCATCTGATGTTGCTGTAACATTGTATTGGAACATAATATCTTTAACTTTTTGTAATGTTGAATTTGTATTACATAACGCTTGATTACAGTAAACAATAAAGGTGGCTGAACTAGGCGATTGAATTATATTGACGGATACTAGGCTGCTTAGCATTTTGTCATCGCACGAACGATCTATTTTATCTTGAAATATGTTATGCGATATAACACATGAACCTCGCTGTGCTAATGTACCACATTGACGTTCATTTTCATTTGAATCGTAACAACTGATATTAGAATTATTCGATGTTAGAAGAGGACTTTTCATGAAAGATGTGAGTTCCTCTCGAATTTTTGGGTTTTCAGCTTGGTGTTGCAACATTTCAATTGATGCATTTTTTGCTAATTCTCAAGTACAATCATCTTTATCATTGCATGCATACTTGATGTCATAAGTAAAATAGAGTGAATCTGTCGAGAGCAGGATTAAGCTTGCCTGACGTAGATTGTCTATATCAGCGATAACATTTGATGAAGCAGCTTCAAACTTAATCGTATAGTCTGCAACACCATATGTAAAAGCAAGAGAAGCACGACACTTGCCAGCTGATACACTTTGATTACAATGACTAGGAATACTGAATGGTGTTGTTAACATGTATGTATACCAACAATCCGTAATGCATTGAAGAGCGTTACAAGTAAAGAATAAATAAAAGAACAATAAAATAAATATTCGACTGAGTAACATGATGATAGAAAAACGAGAAAATTGGTCTGATGATGAAAGACTTTATTAAACCATGAGTATAAATGCATTTGCTTTTACTTTCTCTGCAGATACTTTATTGACATACACATAAAAAAATATTTATCTTATTTAAATATAGTAATATGATAACGGCGATTTTTCTTCGCATATACGTCATTTTTTTATTTGTGTATATGTGCACTATCAATGAATATTGAGAAAAAAAACAGAACAGAAAGAGAGGCAACTCGGAATGTGGATGTGGCGTGTGGATGTGTGGGTGTTTTCTTCAACAATATCTACACCCATACCCACACCCACACCCAGTTATAAAAAAATGGCTTCCATTTGTATTTGGTTCAGCATTTGCCATTGACAATGTATATGGGCAATCATGTTTTTATTGGAGATGAAATTCATCTTCAAAATCTTTTCCTCATATTGATCGACTCCTTGTACCATTTCTCAATGGATCACCTTTCAAAAAAAAAAACAAAAACAAAATAATGTTTAAATAAAATAAAATGAAGAGTTTATACGGAATTTCCGTGCTAATAGCATTAGCATCCATCTTTTTCAACAAAAGTCCGAGTACGTTTTTTTTAGGTAGTGGAGATAAATTTTATCAGCTAAAATATAAACACAACAGAATACGCTCCATAAATTGCTTTAACTCGCACCTTCCCCTCATCCCTCCCTCCCTTCAAACGCACTCTAAAATCTATATAAAATTTTACTCCTATTACTTTTTTTCTGTTCAAAATTTTTTCCCTTTTTTTTTGTCAATGCTATTAGCATTGAATCTTTCATTTACTGAAAATGAAGTATTAAAAAAACCGGTTTGAATCATAAATTGTATAATAACACGATGAAAAATACATCCATTATAGTAGCATTGTTTTTGAATGTTGAATAAAATTTTCACAAGTTTTCGACGCATATTCAGGAAATAATCTAACATGAATATCACCATATGTTGTATGAATAATAGCTGATTGTGATAATGATGATAATGCTTGTTCTTCTGTTACTGTTAAAATTTCTTCACGAGATGGTTTTTCATTATAAACATTACGATCATTATCATGTTCACTTCGAATATCTATAAATAACAAAAAATTTTTCGGCAAAAAAGGAATTTCATTCAAAAGTACCTTGTGGATTATTTCTTGTAAATAAATAAAATCGATTTTTTTTATAAACCCTAGCAAAAAGAAAGATTGGATGAATTTTGACTTTGATAAAGTGTTAAACGAATAAATCGTGCATTTTCCATTGTACTAAAAAATTATTTTATTGAATTTGTACGTAAATTTAACATTTTAATCCCATACAAAGTTGAATAGAAAAGAAAAGTTCCTGATGAATCATATTGAAAATTAATTAATGAATAAATTGATTCATTTTTTTTCTCAATCTTTTTCAATTGTTAAACATCTTGAATATTCAACATTATTTAAAATATTTAAATTGAACTTTTTTCTCCTCATTTTGTTGTTGTTTGATTTGTAAACGTTCATGTAATTCTTTATAAACATCTAAATATTCATCAAAGATTTAAAAAATTTTTCCTTTTAATGTATCAAATAAAAATAATTTTCTTTGTGTTAATGATTTTTCAATTAAAGCAAATTGTTCATCACTTACATTAAATTCTAATATTAATGGAATTAATTTTCTTTTAACTAATTCAATTAAATCAGTATTTAATTTTGATTTAAATAAAATTTCTGATGATAAATTATCAATATCATCCGGAGACCAATAGCTAATAATTGATGATTGATCACATGATATAGCTATGTCATATTTTGGACAATACGAAATTATTGATACTGGTGATGCACGGCAGATTTTTGGTATGATTTTAATTGGTTCTTTTGTATTTAATGTTCTTCCATTGTATAAATAAATAATTCACGATCCACTTGATGAAATAGCAAGGATTGATAAAGCTTGACGAAATGAATAAACAAATGAACACATTAAGGGAATGTAGTCTATTTTAACCATTGTTATCATATCAACTAATAAAATATCAAGCATTTTTAATGTTCGATCTGAACATGATGAACATAATAATGTATCTCGAGAATTTGCACATAATGTTAATATTGGACTTGAAATTTATTATTTCGTTTAGTTTTATTTGTAAGAATAATAAAATAAAAGCGTTACCTAAATGACCTCGAAAATGTTTAACAAATTCAATAGAAGCAGCAATTGCAGAAGTATTTTGTCGATCTTTCTCATCGGCTGTTTTAGTTGATTGATATGAAGATGCTGTTTATTGTTGTTTAATATAATCCGATGTAAATATTTTCCAAAATTTGATATGACCATCTTGTGAACCAGTTATTAAAAAATTTGTTTGTGTAACAATAAAATGTGTATCAACATCTCTTGGCATAAATGATCTTTCATAAGAAAAAACTCGATGGTAATAATGATGCATATAAATTAACTAATTCAGCTGAACCTTTTGTTTTTTTTGCTTTTCGATTTAAATCAAATGTTTGATTTGATGATAATACATGAATTAATTCTTTATCCGAATCTTCTTCATTTTTACGAGATTTTATTGATGTTAGTGAAGATAGTGAACGACCACGATCTGATTGAACTGTATGATAATCACTATCACCAACTTCACTATCTTCATCTTTCATTTCTCGACGAGTTTTTTCAGACATTTTTTCTTATTTTAAATAAACTCAATTCTAATATGATACTAATAAGAATTTTGTAATAAAAGAATATTTATTTTCTCCAATCATATCGATTTTATATATAATCAACTGTAGATGATACTCATTTATTGTCACTATATTATATCGAAATAAGATTATTTACTCTGATCGATAGTCTGACAAATATTTGAATATTTTTCGATATATTGCATAAACTTTAATATAAAATAGAATTATTGAAATAGAAAAATAATCATTTATTCATTATTTAATTGAATAAAATATCACAAATTAATAATTAAACAATGAATATTCTTAATTAAATATATTTTAGGACATACGAAAAGCAATGATGCTGCCATTGTAATTCTCTGTACATAGTGACAGTCGAAACAATGCTCAAGAATTCTTAAATATTTCATCATTGTTCATTTGAAAATCTCTACAATGGACGGCGCGAAGAAAGTTTGCTAGAAGTAATAAGGTTTTATTGCTGCTTGGAATTTATTCTGTGGGAAGCTATTGCTGTTTCCTTGTAATGCTGAGTGTGGGTGTGTGCAAGGAGAAGATGTCTACATCCATCCATATCCACACCTACACTTACACACCCCAAATTTTGCAACGGTTATCGTAAAAGAATGACTGATTATTTTTCGATGTACAGCGTTATTTGTGGATGAATGATACATGCTAAAAGATTTAACCTTTCGTTAGACAATATAGACGTGCAAGAGTGCTGCATATTCTTATGAAGATGTATACTTTAACACTTTATTCTTAAAATAATGACATCTAATCGTAAAAAAACACATTTGAAAAGTCAATCTACTTCATTGAGTTCGATATCAAGTTCTTCTGAAAGTTGTTCAATATTTGACTCCATCATCCACAGTTTATCAGCCTAGAAAGGCAAACATTTCTTGTAGATAACTAATGCTTGTTTATGGTACTCAAGTGCTAACTTGGGTTTATGAAGAATTTCATATATTTCACCTATGATCGATAAACTATCACCTATGTCCACATGATCAGGTGGAAGGACTTTACAACGCATGAAGAAAAGTTTCTGTTCATAGGTAAGAGATATATCATGATGATCTCTCTTTCTCTCTGCCTGTGATAACCATGTAAGTACACTACTAATGGAGAGATCTTTAGGAGGTGAACTAGCTTCCATAACTAATAACCATCTTTCCAAAAACTTAATGGCAATATCGAACTGAAATTTTCTATCGAAGTTGGCAGCAATCCATGATAGACAAACACAAATTTCAACATAATTGTTGGGATAATATTCTTCGAGTATGATCAATGCTTGTTCACAATAGTCAAGAGATTCCTTATATTTCGTTTGCTGAAACAGAGTAACACCAATGTCTTTGAGAGTGATAGCAATATTCAATTGATCACTTGCCGAGTTATTTTTCAGAAGTACTAATGTTTGTTATTGAAAATCGAGAGCTTCGTCATATTTCGTTTGATCTTTTAATATTTTAACTATGTTATTCAGACAATAAATGGCTTTTGAATGATTAGATGAATTTTGCTTGTAAAATGCCAGTGTTCGATAATACTATTCGAGAGCTTCATTAAGTTTTCCATGATCATTCAATATAGCACCAATATACGTCAAACACTGAGCAAGTTTTGCATGACCAGATGGATAATGCTGATCGTAGATAGTGATTGCTCGCTGACAAAAATTCAAAGCTTCATCATATTCGCCTTGTATAAACAGAGTAACACCAATGCATCGCAGTCTTTCAGCAACCTTAACATGATCTTGTGGATAGCATTTTTCAAGAATTGTTAGAGCACGTCGATAATTTTCTACAGCTAGATTGTATTTGTTTTGGTCTATGTGAATGTCACCGATACGAATTAGACTATCTGCAATTTTCTCATGGCAAGAGGAACACTTTTCTTCTCGAATGATCAATGCTCTCTGTTGAAACTCGATAGCTTCTTCATACTTTCCTAGACCACTTAGAGCATTAGCAATTTTTATCAG